CACATGTATGTATATAGAAAGACCTATGTGTATAGAGTAAATGCTCATGCACATATAGACGTACCTGTAGGTATATTGTGCATTACACATGCTTCCTATGCTGCATATCCATATACACAGCAAACCGTGTTGTGGTCACAGTCATGGAGGCTTCTGAAACACCCAGCTAGTTTGTGGGATTCGTTTGTAAGGCTAGAAGCTTGGGACCGTAGGTCTGGGCTGCAACTTAGACAAAGATCATGTTCTGCATCCTAGTTTGATGAGGAGCATGTGGGGCCTTACAAGTGTGTGAACATCCATCTGAGAGGCAACTCTTGGTCTCTATAAGGATGAAAAGAGAATGAACGAAGCCAAAGGTTCACAGAAGAAACGAATCCAGGGAGCGAACAGCCCACGCACTCGCTAGCCTCTTTTAACCTGAGACCAGAGAGCTAGTGATGCCCAGCAAACCCTACTGACCATTCTGCAAAGAAGAGAAGGAAAAGAGAACATTATTCAAATGCCTTAAAAAGGCCGTACCTACTGGTAGAGACTGGGAGAACCTATAAGACTATTGCCGTAAGGAATCTCTGATGAAGTGCTTTCTGTAGGTCACGTCTCGGTCAAATAATAAACTGGCTCATAAAATAAACAGGGTCTCCCACGAGTAACAGGCTCCTTTACAAAGAGCTATTTGGGACCAAATGGTCAACATTTACCCAAAACAAAAGGTCAGAAGGCAGGTAGTGGAAGCAAGGTCCAATTAGTGGTAACAGAAGAAACAATGGAAATAACTAGAATGCTGACACAATAACAATGTTGCCAATGGCATGAGATATGAGATCATTTGTTTAAAAATTCTTCAAGGAGAACCTAATTTGCTGTGAAAACTTTCACCTAAAAGATTTTTTTCTTTTTAAGATCATTTTATTAGGGGCTTTTATAGCTTTTATAACAACCCATATGTCAGTTGTAACAAGCATATTTGTACATATATTGCCAACATTATTTTTCTAACCATTTACTTTCTATTTGAGCCCGTGGTATCAGCTCCAAAACATGTATTTAAACACTTTATTATGATGTGGGTGAAAGCTTACAGACGAAATTGGTTTTTCATTCTCTATACAGTGAACCCTCGTTTATCGCGGTTCATCGGTTCTAGACCCTACCGTGATAAATGAAATTCCGCGAAGTAGGATTCCTTAATTGTAAATCAAATATTTTCGTAGTTAGAGCATAGAGGACATGAAAAAACACCCTTTAGTCACCATTACACTCATATGACCCAATTTATTAAACGAAAAAGGGAAAATACAGTAAAACATTTTGGACGTTACAATTATCATTTATTATTTATGGCATCAAGCGTGTACAGTATGAGCCAATCAGTGGCAGTCATGACAGAGCATGCGCTGTTACACAAAAATCGCGATAGAGTGAAGCCGCGGAAGTTGAAGCGCGAAGTGGCGAGGGTTCCCTGTATACATTGTGTTTCATGACCTTGATTGCAGACTCATAATATAACAGCATTATTCCCACTTCCCTGCTTTGTACTTTCCCCATTTGTCCTTCTTGCCTTCTGAGTTTCATCCCTGATCAAATGCTGCCCTTCTGATCTCATATGGTGGATTATTCTAAAGGGTGGGGGCCTCCTTGGTGTCTATTGTTTATCTCAAAGTTGAGCCATGTGGCTGAGTACAGTTCCCGACTTGAAGGGGGGACTAAAGGCCCGCGTCTCAGGAGCCCACGGGTTGCTATCACACCAGAAAATCTAGTCTTCAAAATAAAGCACTGTTAAAAAAAACAAAAGTGGACTTTGAGTCCCTGCACTGAAAACCTAGATCTGAGAGAAAATTGATGCCAAGATACATGGACATCCCCACGAATGCTAGACCGTTGGCTGTTGAAAGGAGACCGAGACTTCCTGCAGAGCTAGCTGGCACCTTGAATTCAGATTTCTAGTCTCCTGAACTGTCAGAAAATGAAGATCTGTTTGTGCAAGCCATCCCTTTGTGTTACCTCCATTGTAGTAGCACTGTGTGAACACGGTGCGGAAGTAATCAGGTTTGGCTTGTTTTCATCGATTGTACTGCTTGCACACCGGACTCCCCCAGGGGTGGAACCAGCTGTGGCTCAAATCCCTCTGCGGGTGGAGTGGCTTGCTAGGTGGACTGGGAGTTCAAAAGATGTCCTCCCAGACTGTTGAGAATGGCTATACATATTTTAGCACAAGGGAAGAAGATGCGTAGAGAGCAAAGGAGGAAGTAACCTTTAGTGATAAGTAATGCCAATGTAAAAGCTATTAAGCTATTCTTTAACATTTATTTATGTAAAAGCTCTCAAGATTGTTTACCCCCAAACGTCATTAACATATTCATTATATGCGCTCTAGTTCCTCTTGGATTTGTCATTTGTTGTTAATACATCAACCACACCACGTATTCATCAGCACATTTTACAGGAGTCATAGTGTTGGCGTAGATTTATGTGTTGGCCGTCGAGGTGGTATATGAGAAGGAAGAAGCGTACAAATGTAGAAGATTGTGATTAGAGAATAGAAAAATGGCATTTCCATAGCAGTATTTAAATGATCACAGTTCTACCATGTTCCTTGTGTATAGCTTCTCAGATTTCAACAATTATTGAGGTAAGATCTATCTATCTATCTATCTATCTATCTATCTATCTATCTATCTATCTATCTATCTATCTATCATCAATCAATCCCAGTACCTGGAACAGTGGCTGATACATAATAGTAAATATTTGTTGATCGATTGAGTTAACTTTTTTTTTTTTTTTTTTGAGTTAACTTTTTGACCTTGGATAAACTCAAGGGTGAGCACAAGAATAAGAAATAACCCTGATCTCAAGAAGTCTCGCGGAAAACACAAGCATGTAATTAAATAAACTTATTCTGAGTGTGATCTCTGGACCAGCCGCATTTAGAAGCAGCAGCATTTAGGTGTTTGTCAGCAATGCAAATTCTTGGGACCCAGCCCAGACATATCAAATCAGGAACTCTCAAAGGTGGGGCCAGTAGTCTTGTAATCTCTGCAGGTGCTTCTGATGACCGTCGTGGTTGAGAACCACCACTGTGCATATGACTCTAGGAGGAATGGTGAACCAGAGGGAGACATACAAGCATCTCGTGAGTTGTGCACAAATGAAGGTGG